AGCGCCGCCGCGCTTCCCAAGCGGCGCACTATCCAGTGCGCCACCGGGCCGGCCCCATACAGCCATAATTCTGGCTAACCTTGTTAATGATAAACTAGAATTAATATGCATAGTCTTCTTTAAGAAAACATAGAATTTTTATTTTCAGCTTATCTCATTCAATAATTTCATAACACACTTTGGGTTCCAGGAATTATAATTTGTTTCCCTCTTCAGTTGTCAGTTTGTCATTTTTCTTCTCCATGATCTTTTGGGACACAGGTGTTACATATGTGATAATGAGGTCCAATATTGTAGTTCAAATCGATTGGGTCAAGTGGTTGATTATGTTAGAAAACAAGCCGGTATAACCCCTCCAAAACCAGGTAAAATAATTTGTTTCATAATATTTGTTATAATGTTGATTGTGTATCTGCTGATATTTATTTATTTATTTTTAAATTTATATTGAATCATAATTAATTATACATATTTGGGTTCAACGTTGACATATGTTGATCAAATCAATATTACTAGCATATATATATATATTGTTTTTTTTTTTTTTTTAAGGATGACTGGTAAGGGGATCTTAACCCTTGACTTGGTGTTGTCAGCACCATGCTCTCCCAAGTGAGGTAACCAGCCATCCCTGTATCGGGATCTGAACCTGTGGCCTTGGTGTTACCAGCACCACACTCTCTTGAGTGAGCCATGGGCCGGCCCTCTAGCATATATATTGTTACAAATCGTATTTATTTTTTATGCCCCTTGTTTAATTTCTCCCTATCCCCCTCTTCCTCCCCCCCACCCCCTCTGATAACCCCAGATTTCTTCTCTCATAACACTTCTGGTCCTAAGCATTTCAAATAAGGGATAATCAACCTGTACTAATTAGCATTACATACAGCTGAGTAACATTAGTTATGGTTAATTTCAAACTATGGAACTGTTGTTGGTTCAGAGTGTACAACAGTGAAAATATATACAGTTATAAGGTGTTAGAAGAGATGTGAGAAGTGATCTAGTCACATGTGAAGAAGGGTCTGGACTAAGGGAATGGGCTGTAGTAGGCCCTCTTCCCATAATCCTGGCTGGGGGCTTACTGTAGACCTGCCTTATGCTGTATTTACTGTGGTACATTTTGTAATAGCAAGATTTTAGTCTGTCTGCTGGGGTGATATAAAAGAAAATTATTTGTACCTCCTTTTATTTTATTTTATTTTTCTGACCGGTAAGGGGATTGCAACCCTCCGCACGGTGCTGTCTGCACCATGCTCAGCCAGTGAGCGCACTGGCCATCCCTATATAGGATCCAAACCCGCGGCCTCGGTGCTACCAGCGCTGCACTCTCCCGAGTGAGCCATGGGGCTGGCCCATTGTACCTCCTTTAATGGCCAGGCATTTTTCAGGTCCTTTCCATTCATAATTAAATTAATTGGGTAAACATACAGTGTTTGCTTTAAGCTTGTTCTTTAGATTTTTATGGTCATAGTATCTTTGTCAGAACCAGAATTGTTTGTTCTTTGCTTCAGGATGGGCTTTTGACTCAGGAAATGAATTTAAAAATTTAAGTTTTCATGTCCACATTCTTTATTTGATTATTTTATGCCCTAATTTTACAAGGTAAGATATGTTCAACTGTAAAACATTTTTGTGCAGTAAGAAAGAGATGATTTATACGAGAACATATACTGTTTGGTTTCATTTGTCAAACTAATGCTTATGTCAGTTCTGAATATGTTGTTTATTGGTTCTTTCTTTCTATGATAATTTACCTATATTTATTAGATAACATTTAAAATCAAATAGGTGGCAAATACTAACATTAGGTAAAAATAATTAATTCTAGTACTCTATTCCAACTATAACTGCATTTGATATGGCTGTATTGCACATTTTGCTAAATCTTCTTTTTTTTTTTTAAGCAGAGAAAGATAATGAGAACATTGAACTTGAAAATAAAAAATTAGAAAAAGAGAGTAAAAATGAACAAGAGAGAGAAAAAAAGGAAACAATATCTAAAGGAAATCCTCCCATGAATTCTACTTCCCAAATAACCGTGAAAGGACTCAGTAATTTGGGAAATACATGTTTCTTCAATGCAGTTATGCAGGTGCCAGTGTCAATTTTTTTCCGCTTTTAAAAAACTTAGTTCGATTCCTATAACACCCAGCAAAAAAACCAAAAAACAAAAAAGAAAACAAAAAACCTAGCCTTTTCCTTATAGGATCTGTTACCTATAGTACTGAGTTTTTTCCCCTAAGTAATTTATTTTTATGTATTCAAGGAAAGCTCAAGGAAATATTTATTGCTGGGTTGAAGTGACGTTTAAAACAAACATGGCCCCTGCCCTCATGGAGCTTTCACATGTGTGAGGGAAGCACAGGGTAATCTAGCACAGACACAAATATGTAATTACAGATGATGGTAAGACGTGGTGAGAGAATCAATCATGGTGGGGGTGGGGTAGGTACTTCAGATAGAGTGATGGGGCTTTGCCCCTCTGAAGTAATGAATAAGCCCAGAAATGAAGTATTTGTGAGCCCAATCAAGTGGGGAAAAGAGCATGCCTTAACTTTTCATTTCCCAAATGTAAGTACCATAAAGATTTCAGTGTTGGTCATGATTTTCTGTTTTCATAAAATAGACACTTAAGAAATATTTAAATGAATTGATTTACTTTTATTTCCTTTTCTTTTCCATTCTACATTTCAGAATTTGTCGCAAACACCAGTGCTTAGAGAACTACTAAAAGAAGTGAAAATGTCTGGAACAATTGTAAAAATTGAACCACCTAATTTGGCACTAACAGTATGTACTTTAAAATTTTCCTTTATATTGGGCCGGCCCGGTGGTGCACTGCTAACAGTGCACCGCTTGGGAGTGCGGTGGCACTCCCGCCGAGGGTTCGGATCCCACATACAGACCGGTTCCCGCTCACTGGCTGAGCGAGGTGCGGACGCAACACCGAGGGTTGCGATCCCGTTGCCGGTCCCGGTCCGGTACGGGCGCAACACTGAGGGTTGCGATCCATTGCCGGTCACGAAAAAAGTCAAAAAGGAAAAAAAAAATTTTTTCCTTTATAATCAGTTACTTTCCTCTCTGTGAATATCCATATTCTGAAGTATTTTAAAGAATTAACACTCGTTTCTACCCTTTTTGTTTGTCGGTTTTTGTTTTGTTTTACTTTAGGCTACAAGCTAAACATTTTCAGGCTAACAGAAATTATAACAAGGGCTGGCCAGTTAGATCAGTTGGTCAGAACGAAGTGTTATAACAGCAAAGTTGAGGGTTTGGATTCTTATATCAGCCAGCCGCCAAAAAAAAAAAAAAGAAAGAAAAAAATGGTAACAGGCCATTACATTTGTTTGCTATGTGTATACCATATTTTCCTGTACTCTAGTGTTCCTTCTTGGGAATGTCGTTGATATTTTTAAAACTCTAGGCCATGACATAAGAGCTGTGACTTAAGAGCTCCATACTCAAATTAGTTTTACCTTTTTCATTTTTATTATTTTCATTTTGCTTTGGCTCTTTCAGTTTTGGGGTGGAAAGTTCCCTATTAACCTAAAACTAAAATAGTAGAGCTGACTTCTTAATAAGACAATCTGTGATCAGAAGGTTTCTATATCTTTTGATGTACATTTTAAACTTTTAGATAGGGCAGCTCTGTCAGGAATATTGACTATATATGTTAACTAGTTAAATTTTGGTAGAGTAGATGATTCCAAAATTTGACTGAAGAAAGTAATTTTTATTCCCATATTTAGGAACCCTTAGAAATAAACCTTGAGCCTCCAGGCCCTCTTACTTTAGCCATGAACCAGTTTCTTAATGAGATGCAAGAGACCAAAAAGGGAATTGTGACACCTAAAGAACTCTTTTCTCAGGTCTGTAAAAAGTGAGTATCCACTTTGATTGTGTTTTCAGTGCATTGGTAAAATGCTGAGAAATAACTTAAAAAAATTAATAGCATTCGAGTCTACCCAGTGTATGTTTGTATGTGTGTGTGTGTATGTGTGTGTGTGTGTGTGTGTATAAAAAAGCATAGTTTATTTCTTTTGGATTAAAAAAATGTACTTTACATGATAATTAAATCTACCGAGGGTGTTATTGGACTAAATAGAAATTTTGAGAGATAAGAACATGCTAATATTCAAGATATGATTCTAAGATTTTGTAAAAATGGCTCTATATTTTAGTAGACTCATAATTGCTTTTCTTTTCTTTGGTTTTGTTTTTGTTTTTCTGTAGAGCAGTGCGGTTTAAAGGCTATCAGCAGCAAGACAGCCAGGAGCTGCTTCGCTATTTATTGGATGGGATGAGAGCAGAAGAACACCATGTTAGCATATTATGACCATCATGTTTTGTAATCTCATCTTCATGAACTTGTCTGTCACTTAACATCTTAAGTGTTATTAAAGCAGTGAAAGCTAACGAGGCCATTGTAATTTTAAATTTTTTTCTACACCAGCTTTTTAAACTAGTGTGTTTTCATCACATGAACTTGTCTGTCACTTAACATCTTAAGTGTTATTAAAGCAGTGAAAGCTAACGAGGCCGTTGTAATTTTAAATTTTTTTTCTACACCAGCTTTTTAAACTAGTGTGTTTTCATCTTTAGAATGAATCAAGAGACTTAAAAATAATTTTCTTTTTCATGGTGCTTTAGTTTACATAATGTTTATAGCATTATTGTTCTTTAAATGTTCTGTTATATTAGCCTGTATTAGGAAAGCTGCAGAGTATTGGAAAATGTTTCTTCCAGAACAATTCTCAGTTACATTAATTTCATTGTGAGTGTGATTTAACACAGTTTTTTGAATCTAGGAAGTATTGTCATTTTGTAAGAGTTAGGGAACATTTGTTACATTTTAAGATTTTTGTTAATTGCCAGGATGTAAAATAATGTATTTGGGGATGTGAATGTAATTAATAATAGTAATAATAGTGATAACAACTAATATTTATTTTGCACTTACTTATGCCTGATGCTGTTTGCAGTGTTTTATATGAATTACCTTACTTAGTTCTTACACCATTCTACAAGGTAGATGCTGTTATTACTTTCTCACTCCATAGATTCTGAAGCTAGGGTGTAGTACCTAGTTCAAGGTCACCCATTAATGATGGAGCTGGGCTTTGAGTGCTGTCCAGCTCTCACGTAACCACTCTGCTTCCAAGACAAAATATTTCAGTGTCTTTCCAAAGGAGGTAGACATGTTCTAAAAAGCTTTGGTTTGAAAAGATTTAAAATGTTGAAGTGATAAGACAGTACCTTTATTCAGGGGTTACTGATTGCTTTATAGGCATAATTCTTTTTAGCTCCTTGCATTAAGTTTGAAAATTTGATCTTGGAAATATTTCTTTTTACTTCAGTAAATCTGGGGAGCTAGATCTTGATCACTTTCTTGACTTGATTACATATTTTCTAAGGAAAATAATTATAAAATTAAAAATTTAATAGTATATATATATCCATTTTATTACTTTTAGAGAGTGAGTAAAGGAATTCTTAAAGCATTTGGTAATTCTACTGAAAAATTGGATGAAGAACTAAAAAATAAAGTTAAAGGTAATGTCTGACTTTCTGAACTAAAGCACTATAGTTGAATTCCTTTGTACCTTGGGACAGGATTTCTGGCACATGTATTTCAAATCTATGGTTATTAAAAAATAATTTCTCTATATCACCATTGATTTTAAAAAATTGTTCTGTACTTCAAAAGTGAATAGTTTAGAGAATTGTAACTTGTGGTCTATTTTTATGCATTATTACAGTGAAATTTATAAAAATAGAGCTAAGATGACATCACATTTTTATTTTTCAAAAGTTTAAAGTTGTAATTAGCAGTAATACATGAATTACACTTGTTAGCGTGAGTTGTCAGTAACTGGTTTAATAGTCATGGAGACAACTTAATTCTTATTGTTGTATGACATGTAAAGATTTAGGACATGTCTGTGCAGTAGAACTTCCTGTGGTAATGAACTCTTCTCTATCTGTGTTGTCTTGTGTGGAAGCCACTAGCCACATGTAGCTCTCAAACTCTTGAAATGTGACTGGTGAAACTGAGGAACTAAATTTTTATTTTTATTTAACTTTAATTAAATTCAAATGGTCACAAGTGACTAAGGGTTACTTTATTTGGTAAAGCACAGGTTTGAATCAACTCATAGCAATTCTTTGCCTCCTTGGTGCCCTGTAGAACCTGGCTGGTAACAAGAGAATCATGCCTACTGGTACTGTCCATCATAAAAGCATGTTTCTGCATAAGTGGACACATATCATTTGAATAATGTTTATAAATTTCATGTATAAGGAAAATTGGGTGACCAGGTAGTAAAATTATGTCACCTTATATTAAACTTATCGAGATTGTTTCTGGGAACATGGACAAATAAAAGGATTGTGTGTGAAACATTTTCTTGAGGTTTTTTTTTTTTTTTTTTTTAATAGGAGTTCACAAAGCAAGTTACATGCATTTTCTCTCCAAGTTTGCTACCACCATATCTTTTTTCAGTACTGAATGTTAGAATGTTAGAGCTAGAACTAGGGAGCTAGAATATCTTTCAGCCTAATTCAATCTGCTAATTTTACTGATGGAGATACTGATCTACAGAATGTCTCACTGACTTGCAGAATTTATTTCCCATTGACTAGATCTTGGAAAACAACACTTTTTTCTTATTAATAAAGGAATATGTTAACTTGTGTTATGCTCAGAGGTAGGGTATATGCTGCTAACTTCTATAGCATAAGAATAAAATTATGGAAAATATAAAATTTCTCTGTAACATTAGAGAAAAAAGTCTATGAGATAGGAAATTAAAAGTAAAATTTTAGCATTAGGTAAGTAAGTTTTAACTTTTCTTATTCAATTAATTATATAAAGGTAATCGGTAAATTTTTTTTCCCTTTATAGATTATGAAAAGAAAAAATCAATACCAAGTTTTGTGGACCGCATCTTTGGTGGTGAACTAACTAGTACAATCATGTGTGATGAATGTAGAACTGTAAGTAGATATAGTGTGGGCTGGGCTTATTCATTAATATTCATAGAGTACAGCTTATCAGTTGTTTCTTTCAAAAACAGAAATGCCTATCTTCATAGAGTATTCTTTGTTGAACTATCCAGATGTGCATGGTTCTTTATTGGAAATGTCAGTACTCCTTAAATCTTGAAGAAGCTAGTTTAACATTTTAATTTATTTCCCCTAACCCAAAGTCCTCAACATCGAGTAATTTTTCATTTGAAATTTTCTTAAGCCTTTGTTTATTTTAAAACCTACCCCATTCCCCCACCTCCAAGGCAGAAAGGATCTTACTGTGTAATGTTTAATTGGAATCTTTCCTTCCTTTTACATTTTCTTTTTTGGTTGGTTTAAGGTCTCCTTGGTTCATGAATCTTTCCTTGATTTGTCTCTCCCTGTTTTAGATGATCAGGTAAGAGTTTATTTTATTAAAGTAGATTTTTTTTCCTCTGTTAGATTTTATGGGGGAAGATGCCTTGTCTCCTTTTTTGAGTTTGTACATTATTAGCTCATGGGGAAATTTTTCTTAACCTGTTTGAGATACAGTAATTTTTAGAATTTGAATAAAGAATAGGGTAAATACTTCTTTTGAAAAGAGAATGATGTACTTAGAATTCTTTATCGATAATTGATTGGTTTACATATGGGGAAGTATTTTCTTCATTAAAATTATAGTTTATTTTCATTATTTTAGACTAACTACAAATCCCTTGCAGTCTTAAGTATATAAATGTTAAATAATTCTTTTGAAAAGAGAATGATGTACTTAGAATTCTTTATCGATAATTGATTGGTTTACATATTTTCTTCATTAAAATTATAGTTTATTTTCATTATTTTAGACTAACTACAAATCCCTTGCAGTCTTAAGTATATAAATGTTAAATAGAGAGTATTACCTCGGTTTTAAGCCATATTAATTTGATTCCTTCTAAGTAGTAGCAGGAAAAAAGAGAACTTGTTATAAATATTGATTAAGTCATTATTCAACTTCATTTGAATTAGGACCTTGGCCTATTATTTAGTGAGTAAAGTCTCACCAAACTTAACTTTATTTTTTCTTTCTTTAAAACTGTCATTTACGTGCAAAGAAAGAAAAGAATAAAAAGGGATACCTGTGGTGTAATACATAAATCACTTATAAACACAAAGTACATTTAGATATGGACATATTTACAGCATGATACAGCATGTATCTAATAAAATTCATTACATTCTTTTCTATTACACTTGCATGTGAAGTTGCCTTTTTGCTGTTTTGTTTGCTTGTTTTCTCAGCATATGAAGATTAATTTTCTTTTTTTTTTTTTTTGTCCTTTTTGAGACTGGCCGCACTGCGCTCAGCCAGTGAGCACACCGGCGGCCATCCCTATATAGGATTCGAACCTGCGGCGGGAGCACTGCTGCGCTCCCAGCGCCACACTCTCCCGAGTGCGCCATGGGCTCGGCCCACGAATTTTCTTTTCACCAAATGGTTGTTGTAAAATTTTGTTTTTGACCCATAATCTCTCCATATTTTAAGAGTGGTAAGAAAAATGTAAATGATAAAAATCTGAAAAAGACAATGGAGGATGAAGATAAAGACAGTGAGGAAGAAAAGGATAATGACAGTTACATAAAAGAGAGAAATGATATTCCTTCAGGAACGAGTAAGCACTTGCAGAAGAAAGCAAAGAAGCAAGCCAAAAAGCAAGCCAAGGTGGGTGATTAATGAGGAAAATTATGCTTTTCTCCTTTTATATTTTGAACTATTGAGGTTATAGTCTGAATGACATTGGTAGAGAGGTCTGTTATTTTTATGTACAACATTTCATTTGGCAGTTTGCTGAATTAGCTCGTTTGGTATTCTCTTCAGGGAAATTGCTTTAAGTACATGTGAAGAAAAGGTTGTGCTTCTTTTTTTTTGTTAATTCTGCATTACTCGTGACAACTATTTCTAGTAAGTTTAGTTCACTTTTAACTTAATTTTTTGAGTGGTTAATACATTGGCATTCACAAATTTAAAAATATATCAAGTTATACAATAAAAGTCACCCTCCCACCACTGTTCTTTTATGACATAGATAACCACTTTCATTAGTTTCCTATGTGTTCTTTTGGAGTTTCTTTTGGAAAATGAGGAAATGCAAATATGCAGTCTTGCTTTTTTCTTCCCCATTTTTTAGTATATACACTGTTCTGGACCTTGTTTTTTGTTTGTTTATATTTAATGAGATTCTTGGAGACCTCTCCATTTCAGAATGCAAAGCTTCTCATTCTTTTTTTTTTGCAGCTGCAGAGTAGTCTGTTTTGTGGATGTACCATACTTCATTTAACCATTTCTCTATTGATTTAGGTTGTTTCTAGTCTTGTGCTGTAGTGGCCAATGCTGCAGTGAGTAACCCTGTACATATATCGTCTGTAGGGTAAATTTTGAGAAGGATTGCATTTGTAGTTCTGATAGATACTACCTAATTGCCCTCCACAGAGGTTGTACCAATTTATATTCACACCAGCAATATATGAGATTTCCTGTTTCTCCTGATCCTTGGCAGCAAGCAGTGTGTTATCAAACTTCCAGGTTTCTGCTAGTCTAATAGATGGAAGATATTATCTCAGTGCAGTTTATTTTTGCATTTATTTAAATATAAATTGGATTAAGCATATTTTCATGTTTCAGAGCCATTTGTGTTTCCTTTTTGTTTAAGTATTTGCTTATATCTTTTCCCCATTTTTCTTTTGTGTGTTATTCATTTTTATTGAAACAATCAGAAAATGTTTGTGTCCTATGCCTTGTATTTTGCCTTTTCATCCTTCTGGCTTTACAGATTAGCCTAACAGGGACTTTTCTTTCAATTACAAACAAAAATGCTAACCCATTTGATCTTTAGGCATTCCAGTAAGAGGAATCTTGATGACGTATCTCCCCCCCCCTTCTACTTGGAAATAGGCTGCAAGTGTCAAAAAAGGTGATTTTAGGGGAAAGGTTCTTTATTGTCCTCCGTGCATGTGGTTTCCTTGCTTCCTTACTAATTTTGGGTCATTTTTTCCCTAGAATGCTTTCATCCATTTTTCTGACCAAAGCAGTCCTAAACTTACGTATCCTTGAGTTTTCATTTGTTTTTTTATCTCCTCAGTGAAACTTTGGCCCAATAGTTATACTTCACATGGATACATCTCTTTTTGTTGTGTACGTAGTCAGACTCACTACGTAGTTTAAAACTTGGCTTCTTGGGTTTAGCAGTCTTTTTACTCTGTCTAATTACTTCTCTTAGAACAGAGAATATGTCTTGCGTATTTTTATTTCCCCAGTAGCATAATTTTTTGATGATTGGTGATAGTGTATTCCTGATTTCATTTAAAGAACTTTTCTTCATAACTTGATCTCTGATCTTTCAGGATCAGATTCTGAGAGTGAATTCTTCCTTACAAAATTATTTATTTTTGATTGATAAGCAGCAAAACTTGATGTGATACATGTGTACCTTTCCTTCCTTCTTTCTTCCCCTCCTTCCTTTTCTCCTTCTTTCCTTCCTTCCTTCTTTTTTAATGTTTTATTCTTTTTACACAGAACCAACGAAGGCAAAAAAAAATTCAAGGAAAAGTCCTTCATTTAAATGATATCTGTACCAATGACCATCCTGAAGATAATGAATGTGAAGCTGAACTGTCACTTCACGGAGAGGTGGATGTTAAATCTAACCACATTTTACAAGAGGAAGTTACACATAAAGAATTTTGTGTTAATAAGAAAGATTTGAATGGCCAAGAAAAAATGATAGAAAATGTAACTGACAATCAGAAATCCACAGAGGAAGTAGATATGAGGAATGTCAGCATGAATAATGATATGGAGGTTTTGGCATCTTCTCCCCCTGAATGTATTAGGAATTTAAATGATATCTACCTAAAGGAAGGGAGCAATGGAGAAGTGGACATTTCCAGTGGTTTCAAAAACCTTAATTTGAATGCCGCCCTTCAACCTGATGAAATAAACATAGAGATTCTGGATGGCAGTCATACTCCTGGAACAAAGGTGTATGAGGTTGTAAATGAAGATCCAGAAACTGCTTTCTGTACTCTTGCAAACAGGGAAGCTTTCAATACCGAGGAGTGTTCAATCCAATATTGTTTATATCAGTTCACCCGTAATGAGAAACTTCGAGATACTAATAAATTGCTTTGTGATGTATGCACAAGGAGACAGTATAATGGACCAAAGGCAAACATAAAAGGTATTTAGAGTCTCTCACTATAAGTAAAATAATATTCAGGGGCACATTTTGCACTGCGTAGGTACAGTACTCCTATTGTAATTGTATCAGGATTTTGATGGCATGAATAAGTACCCATTTAGAGTCTCTCACTATAAGTAAAATAATATTCAGGGGCACATTTTGCACTGCGTAGGTAGAGTACTCCTATTGTAATTGTATCAGGATTTTGATGGCATGAATAAGTACCCTCTATGTAAATATTTAACAGAAGGATGGAAGAAGCAGAAATTTATTGAAGTGGCTAGTACTCTGTGACATTTCAGCAACAGTTAAAGTGGGACAGTTTGCTCTCTGACACCTCTCCTTGTGGGTAAATCATCCCACTGGAATGCTGTCACCACAGCATCCTGACAGATAGTGGCTATTTGCATCCTCAGTTCCCTGTCAGCATTTGTGATGGCCCTCGCCTCCCTTGTACCCAGGAAGCCACACTTGAATTCATCAGTGTACAAATGTGACATGCCCAGTGCAAGGTACTGGGAGGACAGAGCTTTCTTGTCATCTCCCTCAAACATGGAACAGAAAGATACTGACAGTTCCCAAATATGGAACACAAAGTTATTGACAATTCCCTTCTCCCCGCCCCCGCTTTTTTGAGTTTAGGTAAGTGGGATAGGAAGGGGCTGTGGTTATCTAAGGATTTTTACTAGAATTGTTGAAATGCTTTAAAATTCTATCTTTGTATATAAATGTAGATACAAAAAGTAAATTGTGTTGATTTTGTAGCAATTCTATTTGCTTTAGAGCAGGCACTGGCAAGCTAAGGTCCATAGGCCACATTTGACCTTCTGCCTGTTTTTTTGTGGTCTTTGAGCTAAAAATAATTATTTTTATAGATGAACATTTGCAAATTATTTGATGATAAAGAACACTAACTGTAAACCCCAGTTGACCAAAATGTTATGTCCCCAAAATAATTCCATTCTTCTCTTTAATAGAGTGCAGTTGTACTCAATTATTATAATATTTTTATTTCATCAGTAAAAATTTGTGGACAGTTTTCTCTCTCATATAAATACCTATAAAATATCATCGATTTTGCCTCTTAGTCTGCAAAGCCAAAAATATTTATTACATTCTGGTCCTTCACAGGAAAAGTTTACTGATTTTTGCTTTAGATGTTTGAAATGATTTTGTAGCAAATCTGAATACTTCAGAGGGCTAAAACACTTTTTACACTGCTAAAATTTCTTTCTTTCTTTAGGTGAAAGGAAGCATGTTTACACCAATGCCAAAAAGCAGATGCTAATTTCTCTTGCTCCTCCTGTTCTCACACTTCATTTAAAGAGATTTCAGCAGGTACTCCTTGTAACACCAAATTTATTTTAAATATGTAACACCTATTTTATTTGTTACTGTCGCAACATATTACTGTGTTTCTTTGGTTTTCTATTATTTCTTATTTCTAACTTCAAAGAAGTAGGAAAGTAAAAAAAATAAGTATGGGCAAGTCAAAGATGCATGTCAAAGTGGAGGAGAAATTTAGGCACAATCCTTCCTCAAATTTACTGTAACTTGTGTTGCTCTTTTTCATAAGATTAGCGTCTTACTCTAACCTTAATTTCAGGTTTAAAAACAAGAAAAGACGAGTTTACTACTTATATCTCACACTGAGGAATATGAATGATGTTTTTCTGTTTTGTGTGTGGTATCTTATTTTTGCTGACTCTTGATTAAAAAACATTGTATCGTACCTTGGATTTTCATCATTCCGGTGACCCCTTCTTTTCTGGAAGACTTTTGCTATAAGCAGTACAACTTTCAAATTCTGTTTCAAATTCCATAAGTCCCTTCAGAATCTTCAGAACATTTTTCCTTTCATGGTTGGTATAGGCTTGACTAATTGGGTGGCTTTTTATTAATTCACTAAGCTTGGTTAAAGCACGAGGCTGAAATTGGGTGTTTCACAAAAAAATATTCTGCTGTTGGTGAGTTTTAAGCACTGGAAACCTCTGGTCTAATCTGTTTTTTCTGGATGGCTAAAGCAGAAACACTGGACATTTTTTCATGGGAACACCTTTCTTAATGTGATGGGATGTGTGTGTGTATTTGTGTTTGTAGTATGTGTGCACTTAGCAAAAATAAACCAACTTGGAATGAGTTACTGGTCAGAAAGAATAGTCTAAGAAGACTGAACTACGGATGGATGTTGGTGTTCTTTTGGGCATCAGAGGAGACTACAGTTTACTTTATGTGTATAACTCAATCTGTTATCCTTCTTTTTCAGGCTGGGTTTAACCTACGCAAAGTTAACAAACACATAAAGTTTCCAGAAATCTTAGATTTGGCTCCTTTTTGTACCCTTAAATGTAAGGTAGGTGAAAGTTGTCTTTTTAGGAAAATCATTTAAAGGCAAATCATAGTTTGCTATTCCAACAGCAACACACATAAGTATGAAGTTGATATGATTTATTGAGTAGAGTGGGTCTTTGATCATTGTATCTTTATAATTTCAAGATCTGTGATGAATCATTTTGAAAATTAGGTTATTTCAGTTCAACAGTATTTTGAACCCCCATTATTTTGGCAGACATTGTCTTGGGAGCTGAGGGCACAAAACTAAAGGTGAGCAGATGCATTAATGGATAATCTCAGGAAGATTGATACATACAGCACAGAGGTGGTATGCACTTAACCCAGCATTTGGTGGTTCAGGGACTATGCTTCAACTAATGCTTAAAGAAAGAGTAAATATTAGTATAATGAATCAAGATCAAATGAGTTTTCCAGGCAGAAAGAACAGCAGGAGCAAAAAGCATAGCAGTGTAAAATAGGATGATGTGTTCCAGGGACTTATAATATTAGCAGTTCTAGAGCTTACAGTACAAGGTACAGGGAAAGATAGGAAATGAAGCCAGAGAAGTGAGATGGGAATGAGACCTTGCAGGTGTGTCATGGTGAGGAACTTTGGGGCTTATTAGGTATGCAGTGGGGAGCCACTGGAAAGTTTAAAGTAATTAAGTGACACAGATCTGCATTTTACATAGATTACCTGTTGAAGTATGGAGATTGGATTTTAGGCAGGGCAAGACTAGAGGCAGGGCAGTGAATTAGGGGGCTGTTGAATTAATTCAGCCAATAGATGATGAGGGCTTAAAGTTGGGCAGGAGAAGGGGAGATTGAAGGAATATTGCAGGAGGTAAAGTTAACCAGACTTATGGTGGATTGGCATTGGAAGGTGAGGCAGAGGGCTTTAAGTGGATGCTGAGGGTGGCACAGAAAGAGGAGTTGACATGACTTCTGGGGCTTGGCTTGAGTGACCAGGCAGATTGGAGTGCCATAAACTGAGGTAGGAAATACAGGGAGAAGAGCAGGTTGGAAGGTGGAGAAAGGATAATGAGTTTGGTTTTGGATACATTGAATGTCAGATATCTTTGATATATTCATGTGCTTAGTCTAGAAGCATTTGTATATACATGTCTGAGGCCCAGAGCTGAGATGTTAGGGCTGGAGATAAGGATTTGGAAATCAATATGTAGGTGGTGGTTAAAACTATGGGAGGATGGGATCCCTTGTGCCTGGGAGAAAGAAAGAGAAGAGATGGCATGGACAGGACTCTGGCGAGCATCTGAATGGAAGAGGCAAAGGTAGAAGAGGAGGACAACACAGAGGATCTCAAAGAATCTACATGTTGAAGAAGAATATGTAGAATCAGAGAAGCTGTGTTGTACAATATTCATATTCCAAAACTTTAATATAAGCATGTTAATAAAGTCTTACTTTTTATGTGTAACATTTGAAATGGTGGGAATTCCCCCTTCCTCCCTCCCAATTTAAAATTGTCCAAGAAAGGTATAATTTCAGAGCTAGTGGGTAAATTTTAATTGTTTTTATGTTATCACCATAGGGCCAGGTTACTTTAGCTGGTAAAAGGAAATACTTTTGGTTAGATTAGTTTTGAGTACAAGATCATCAGGAATCCATCTTTTGCTTAAAATGCCTTGCCCTGTGTTCAACTTTCAAGGAAAGGACTAAGTGGCAGAGGGTATGGTGATTTATTTACTTATTTATTTTGGTGGCTGTCTGGTATGGAAATCTGAACGCATGACCTTGCCGTTATCAGCACCATGTTCTAGCCTGTGTTCAACTTTCAAGGAAAGGACTAAGTGGCAGAGGGTATGGTGATTTATTTACTTATGTATTTTGGTGGCTGTCTGGTATGGAAATCTGAACGCATGACCTTGCCGTTATCAGCACCATGTTCTAACCAAGCGAGCTAACCGGCCAGCCCTTGTTTTTCAAGAATAGTGTTGGGAACTTAGGTGGGTTGTGGAAATAAAGTATGTAGATATGTTAGAGGCTTTGTTAAAAAGATAAAGTAGTGAATCAATGAAGATTTTTTTAAGTGTAGTAGACTTAAGTAGGTTTGTAGGCCCAGAGGAAAATTTACAAGTTAAAAGTACAGAAAAGAGAAAATTGATTGAGCAAGATCCTGGAGGAGGCCAGAAGGGCCAGGCTGAAGACGCTAAGTTGGAGTGTGGTCTTTGGATAAAAGGGAGGGGATATGTCATTTTCATGAGAATGGGCAGCTTGTAGTTGGGTGGGTTGTGTCTCAGTTTTCCTGAAGTGGGAAGTCAGGTCAGTGAGAGAGAGTAAAGGGTTAGGGGATAAGGAGTGGCCAAAAAAGAGTGGTCAGAGTTTGGTACAGTTGCTGTGAAGAGCATCCATGGAAGAGGCAGCTAATTAAGGACAAGTTTCAAGATTATAGTCACATCCAGGACCTGATGAAGTAGAAGGTCGTATAATTTTGTTTTCTAGCAATAGCAGCTGTCTGGGTTTGGGGATGGGGAAGATATATTGTAGGATTCAGGGTGGGGTTTTGTGATGAATTGGATGTGGTGGCAAGGTTGTTGGTGGGTGTGAAGAGAGGAGATTATTTTTAACCATGATACATGTGATCCAAGTTCCCAAACTTTAATATGCCTGAGTCACCTGGGAATTAGACCCACAAACTGATTGTCTCCCTCTTGGGTGGGGTCTAAGATCTGTGTTTCTAATAAACTCAGGTGATGCTGATGGTGCTGTTCCATGGACCTCATTTGGAATAGTGAAGGTCTAGACCGCATATGGAAATAATGCCAGAAGAGTCTTCATAGGACAGGAATAAATGACTGACTGGAAGATCCTGTTAGTTAGTTACAGAATAGGTGAGGTGAGAGTTGAAAGAATGGAAGAATTGTGAGACTATAAAATTATATTTCCAGGGCTTGGCCCATTAGCTCATTTAGTTAGAGCATGTGCTGATAACACCAAGGTCCAGGGTTTGATCCTTGTACTGGCTCACTGTGCTCCCCCTCTCTCACCAAAAAAAGAAAATTAGATTTCTGAGGTTGAACAGTTCTGAGTGATGACCAAGCCCAGAATGTAGTCGTGGTTGGCTAAAATAGAATGGCAGTGAAAATCCTGTGAGGGTCATTGGTGGACACTAATCTCTGAGGAAGCTGATAGGACTTGAGGTAGAGAAGTATAAAGTTCTTCAATGAATGTGGAGGTGTAGGTTAGAGACGATTAGGGACAGTACTATTTTGAAGGGCAGTGATGCTTGTTCGGGACTTTTTGCAAAAGAATATAAATGCTGTAGTTGTCTGGAAGTGGCCCCTGGCTCAAAAAATGGCTGTCCCTGTTGCTAACCCTGTGGTACATGGGGTTTTAAAAGAATAAGCAGCCTCGACTCTGGGCGGGGAAAGTGAGCACTTGGGAGAGGTTGACTGTGCTTCTGACTCCTTAGGGGCATTTGAAAATGAAAGGGGTTTCTTTCAACCTAAATGCTATCCTCTTCTGTTAAGGGCTTACATTTGGGTAGAGATCAGGGTGATAGCCAGGGTTAAGGCATTTTGGGATTATCCTAGGGCTCCTAAAGAAACTCTGGCAAGTTGAGTTCAGTTATTTATTATCCGGGCCAGATAACTCATTACATCAAGGGGCCTTTGGTTTATGGTTTTTCCAGCAGGGAAATGGCAGTGGCAACTTTCTACACCCTCAAAGTAAAGGCTAAAGACCCTTTCTGTTAGTTGTGTAAATCTGTCTTGACGTCTGTATAAATGGGACTAACTTTTGGATTCTATTCATTTTTAAAGAATGTTGCTGAAGAACATACAAGGGTACTCTATTCCTTATATGGAGTCGTTGAACATAGTGGAACTATGAGGTCAGGGCATTACACTGCCTATGCCAAGGCAAGAACTGCAAACAGTCATCTCTCTAATCTTGTTCTTCACGGAGATATTCCACAAGGTAAGATGTCTTGGGAAAATTTAGGCATTCAGATTATGGCACAACCATAAAGTAGTGGACTTGAATCTTTCCATTTATATTTAATTTTACATTTCCTCTTGACAGATTTTGAAATGGAATCAACCAAAGGGCAGTGGTTTCACATCAGTGATACACATGTGCAAGCTGTGCCTACAACTAAAGTACTAAACTCACAAGCGTACCTCCTATTTTATGAGAGAATACTGTAACCATATCAAAAAGTCCTTTCACTGGAAACGTTTATGGCTTTTTTAATGGCTGTAATAACAATAAAAAAGTAGACTAACTATAAATCATGCTCACTTAACATTAAACACATGCCAGAAGAAATCATGTTTATTTATTGAAGGGAAAAATACCTAAAAATTTACAATGATTTTGTACTATCATAGTGGTTTTTATTGCTGCTTCCAGTTTCTGGAAAGGAAATTCTGACTTACTTAAGTCCTCTGTGCTTAATATGTCTGGGTGGTGGGTCGCAACACATCAATAAAGTGACTTACCCCAAAAACTTGTTTTATTGCTTAGAAGATTTTAAGTTGCATTGACTGACCCTTCTAGGTATTTTTTTTTAAAAATGTGCCAGATTGACTAATGAAACCCCATTACAGGTGTGTAATTTTATAAGCATCGATGTTGGCAGCAGTATATAATTGGGAGAAACATGTACATCTGCCACAGTGTGCTTCAGCTCGGGTATAGGTCTCCCTCTCTATTTGCTCTGTGCCTATGGTCAACTGACCCAAGGTAGACACTTACGTCACAAACTGAGCCAGTCTCACTTCTGGGTACAAAGTCCCCCTTAATGCCAGCATGCCAGAGAAATCCTATGAACTCTCCTTGTAGTAAATACTTTTTCACCCAAGTCAGCCAGTGTCTGAGTTACATACATCCCAGATGCTTAAGGACACTAAGCCTGTCTAAACTTCTTGTAAGATTCTATATTAGGATTTCTTTTACATACAATGAACCCTTCTCCTTGCTATGGCACTAATGAGAAATGTATCATTCCAAAACCTGTCAAGCTTATGTAAGACCCCTCAGCCATACTGCTTCCAGATTTCCATTGAAAGAATACCAAAGATAATATGCAATTTCAGACAGTATTGTTCAAGGATTTTATGTAACAAAAACATATTAGTAGCACATATCTTATAAAATCAGTATAACATAACTTTTTACAATGTTCTTTGCTTTTTCAAAACTTCTCATCTTAAGGAAATAGGATCTGCTTTATGAAAAGTGAGATACTTAATTTGCATGTCAGGAAATATATTTTCAGTTGTATCGTAAGCATCTCCTTTGTACTTCCATTCAACGAAATATATTTTCAGTTGTATCGTAAGCATCTCCTTTGTACTTCCATTCAACAACTCATTAACTGCTATTGAAACAAGTCACCTTGAGTTTAGGATTTTCATAGCTGTGGGGGAAAAAAAAAAAAAAACACCCTACAAGTCTAGTCCAGGGGTTGGCAGACTTATCCTTTAAAGGGCCAGATAGTAAATACTTTAGGCCCATTTGCTCTCTGTCATAACTACTTGACTCTGCCATGCCCTTGTAGAAAGCAGCTTTTGACAGTCTATAACTGTATAAGCATGGCTGTGTTCCAGTAACTTGGTTACAAAAATAGGCAGCAGGCCAGATATACCTGGGAAATAGACCTCTATGTTAAGTGACTTGCCTTAAGTCCTACAGCTAATGTGATTGATAAGACTGAGTGAGACAAACAGGTCATTTAGATCCAATTAATGGTGGTCATCAGGTAATAAGGTTTTGACAGTAACAACACGTTTATTACATCATCCAGCTGAGGATACAAACACAAAACACTTCTTAATTTAAAGAGAATAAGAAAACATCAGGCAATTCCTAGAGTACTACCACAAATACAGCCTTCACCTACAGTAAAAATTAAACCATTCAATCATTTTGGTCATCATCCCAGTCTTTCTTCCCACTTGGAGGCTTGGGCCCACCGGCTGGTTTTGCCATGATGATCTGTGTAATAAAACAAAAGACCACATCCTTTAGAATGCAGAGATAGAATATTTTTCTATTAACTTGATTTAAGATCATGCAATCATCTTGACATAATTATTAAATACTACATATAAAACACTACAGCAGAAAGCTGGCTAGTTTCCATGTTAGAAATTAAATTGTAAACTTCCAGCAGTGTGTTTGTGGATAATAATGGCAACAAGATCCCACACAGATTACTGATGGACACTCTAAGACACACACTTCAGTAACTCAGCTGAATGTACAAATACCTGCACCCATTGCATCACTAGTATAAATCGGTTTGGCACCTGATTTACATATGAAGTTTGTCTTGCCAACCATCTTTATCCCAATTTCCTTGTGGTTTAGGAGCTTTAGGTCCCCTTGCCAGTTTTGCCATTAAAATCTAAAGTAATTCATACATAAGTATTTATAAAATTCAACAATGAAATTTCCTAGTACTGTACCTGTGAGATCACTCAAGGAGCAGGAAGTGTTCACAAACAAAAATCTAGGCACCCAGCATCTTTCTAGTTTGTGTAAAATGTGCTAACCCAGCACTTCCCAAGTAAAACCATCTAAGATTTTAAGAGAACCTGTTTTTTTTTTTTTCTTTTTAAACTTGTGGTGACTTTTGGATCAAATAAATTTGGGAGAAGCTAAATTAAACTAAATTAATTGGCTTTCCTCAAAGTAGGACTCTGAGCCGTTAATAATATACATTCTGAATCTCAAAACTGGGAATAAGGTATTCATTGCTTCCCAAATTTATATGATTAAGAGGTCTTCGTATAACATCAAGGGGTTTGGCTTGTGTTTCAACTAACACAAATGAAAACATCTTCAACACCACCTCCACACCCTTTTCAGAAACCTCTAAAAAATCTAAACCTGAAATTCCTGGGATAACATTTTACTTCTTAAGGCTGAGTTCAGATTGAATTAAAGGCACTAAGCATAATTTTAGAAACTTAAGTCCACCTTGGTTTAAAAAAAAAAAAAAAAGGAAGCACCTTAAGGTGGTTACAAAGTTTAATGGGCATCATAATCACCAGAGGGCTTATTAAAACAGATTACTGAGCTTCCTCCAGAATGTTTAATTCAGTGCGTCTGGGTTGAGGGCCAAGAATTTGTATTTTTAACAAGTTCTTATGTGATGTTGATAGTCAATATGGGGACCATATTTTAAGAACTAGTGAAACAGGCATCTGAACAAAGACTAATCTAGTCCCTACTACACTATCCAACGCTTAAAGCTTGATTGGCAAGTCCCTTTCCAGAACATATGTTGTACAAAATTAGGTACAATTGGCTTTTGAAAATATAGTATATTTTATTAACACAAACTGGTTAACACAGTTGATGGATTCTTCAGATACATACTTTGTGTACAAACTGCAAAAACCAAGTGTGCCTAACAATCAACAACCTCCTCTCCGGTAAAACAAACAGGCTTCTTAGCTTAAAACCAAAATTCAAAAGTGGCTTTGTGACCAACGGTTTTAATTACTATCTTGCTTGGATAATGAACATTCAAAAAGTTCCTCAGTTAAGGAACTTCCACCATCAGAATTTCTGCTTACCTCATGCTTCAATCCACTTAGCTTCTACTGTCCCCTTATATTTTTGGTTCCCCTTTTTATTCTTGGCCACAATTCTAATTTCTAGAATAAATATTTCCTTAGGCTTCTATTGTCTTTATTTAAAAACTCAGAAAAACATATTCTTCAGCAAAAACTACCTAATAAACTGATGTAGAAACCCCTACTAAATCTGGTAAGCAAACATCCAGTTTCTACTTATTTCCAGTATATGGAAACTGGATACCCAGTTCCATTTTTGGTCATCTCTAGCTATGAAAAAGTTGGTCCTTATCCTGGAGAAAAATGTATTTTGTTGTAATTACCACCAACTGGTCCTTACTATGCTTAGAAATAAGTTAATTGTCTTTCCACTAATGTCCACTTAGGATTTACTTCTCCCAAGTTTAATTTTGCATGATTTTCACTACACGGATTTATGCCATGCCTAGCAATTACAATTTTTTATTAAGTAATTACCAATAGTTCATTGCTTAATAATTACTTCTAGAATTTTTGTGGGGAAATGGATTTAATTAAGTTTAATAGAAAATACCATTTTGAAAAGTAATTAAGATTCTGGTTTACCTCTATACCCAGAATATTTTTTTTTTTTAAAGATGACCAGTAAGGGGATCTTAACCCTTGACTTGGTGTTGTCAGCACCATGCTCACCCAGTGAGCAACCAGCCATCCCTATGTGGGATCCAAACCAGTGGCCTTGGTGTTATTAGCACCACACTCTCCTGAGTGAGCCTCGGGCCGGCCCTACCCAGAACAGTCTTTACCACACTTCCTCAAAAAGAAGGTAGAAAGGTTATGATTTTAAACACCTTTAAGATTTTTTAGTACCTTGAAAGCTATAATTTGTCATAGCACAAAAATTTCAAGTGCCCCAGTCTTGTCATCGCCACAGACAACACAGACTTCATTTGCCTTAATGTCCGTAGTCTTCTTCAGGGCTTTACAGTCCTTCCATATTCCATATTAATACTACATATTAAACTTACACTCTAGATTATAGAAAAAAATATTTTTGGGGCACACTTTAACTTCTCTAAAATGTGAGGGTAAAGAAATACTCTTTTCAATACACTTAGAACTATGTTATATTCTAGTTCTGTGAAAACATACTATTTGAACCATATGAAAACTAACATTTCTAAAGATCAAAATTTCACTTTTCACTCACCTGATCCACTCTAAGTACAGTGACTGCAGCATTAGTAGCCAGTTTGATAGCCCAATATTTTCCCAGGTAAGTGTCTAGAACACCAGCTTCCAACATGTCCTTTACTGCAGGAACTTCAGCCTGTCAACACAAAACAACTTTCTTTCATTTAAAATTTTTTATATGAAAATGTCTACACTCAACAACATAACACGTGGCTCCTTAAGCAGTAATAGAAAGGTAACCAAATACTACCCTACACACACTATAAAACAAAAGGATATCAAGGAAATACAGAAAACTAAATTTTCCTCTGAGACAAACTAAAAACTAATTGTTAAAATCATTTGCTCACAAATCAGAACACTGTTTCTGATTTTCCTTTTAATTTAGTGCTCCTATTTTAGGTTGTGCATTCACAAAATAAAGCAATTTAAGTTCACAGTGTTTTTTTTTTCAAATACCTCAATATCTAATCCAACATTTTTATTTCCTTCTTGATGTACTGCATAAAGTTTAGAGATTACTTCATTGGCCTTAACACCAGAGTTTTCTGCCAGTGCCCGGGGAATAGCTTCAAATGCCTCAGCAAACTTCTTAATAGCATACTGTTCAAGTCCAGGACATGTCTAAAACAAAAATGTGTTTATTAGTGCATCTTATTCAAGCAATGGGAAAAATGTCTATTTATACAGAAAAAGCTATACCTCTCCATATGATGTGATCTGTTTAGCCAATTCAATTTCTGTTGCTCCACCTCCAGGTACAAGACGTTTATCCTGCAAGTAATCAAAAAACAAAAAGTGACTAAAAGCAGTTTTCAGTTTTAAAATCTCTTCAGATACCATCAGACTGGGGTTTTCTCAGGCACTGTTACTCAGAATCTAATTACAAATTTGGAAAATATTTCAGCAAAATTTCTAATTGTACACAGTGTCCGGTATATGAAAAGGGAAGACCCTTTGAAAACGAAGAATGGAAACAGCACCATATCTTAACTGCATTTCCAAAGATATGGCACTAAGAACATCGCTTTAGCAACTGAAGGTACATTATAATCAAAAACAACCATAAACTATCCCTTTAAAAAACTTTTGAAAAAAATAGCCTTGCTTTGCTATTTATTACTTTGCACAATCATTTTAGAAAACTATCATATCATCATCAATGGATGCTTTAAGTCTTAGGTAAAAAGGTGCTTTGTTCTATATACATCATTTGCTTTGAAGTTCTCAATGTTTAGGAGTCTGCCAACTGTGTGTTTATGACCTTACAAATTACTAAAGCAGATTACTAATACTGACCCTTGTGAGAACTTTGAAAGTATTAACACCATCATCTACTGCCCTTTCTATATCATCCATCAGATTGTCTGTAGAGCCTCGAAGTACTATGGTGGAAATGGCACCGTCTTCCTTTTCTGTAAATAAATTAAATATGGAAATGGCACCGTCTTCCTTTTCTGTAAATAAATTAGATTTGGAGATTAAATCAAAGAAAATGAACACCGCACACTTACATAAATGTATTTTGCCATTACTACATACCATGCTTAAAAACTACCACCTGCGTGTCTCCAACTTCTGAGAGGTTAACACTATTACAATGTCCCATTTCTTCGAGGACAGGAGGAGTCTGTAAGAAAGTTAACTGTTGTAATATGAACTCAAATAGGTTTAACTATCTTAATGTTTTCCAAAATACATACCAATCTAGGGAGAGCTGTAGCACCAACTGTTTTACATAGTCTTCTGAGATCCCATTTTGAGTTCAGCCTTTAAAAAAAACAAAGACCTTAATAAAACTTTTAATTCCATCAGATAGCACACACAGTGCAAAGATTAAAAGAGGAAACTGTACTTCAGTCCCAAAGTCACATTCTTTTGACTCTGAATTCAAGCTCAGAACATGTTTAGATTGCACTGATGCCAAGAAGACTATTCCTGACCCCAAGAGTGAGCCCAGCTAGCCTGCAGTGCCACATCTTAAGTCTGTGTTGTATGGTATCACTCTAGAACTGGAAGAGACTGGGAGTGCTGAAGTCACTTTAGGATGCCAGGGGTTGATAGCTCTAAAACACCAGGGAAACCCTTGTAGAATACCAGTGTATAGAAAACTTTTGCTTTACTTTGTGTACATGTTCTGTGAGGATAAGTACAGTGATTTACTCTGCACATTTGTTTAGGTGCTAGGAATGGTGGTAGGTAGAAATGGACAGATAAGTTGTTTAGTGTGCCCTATAAATATGTTCATGGATTAAAAGGCATCTTCCTGTCCCCACATTCTAGCTAACAGGTAACACACCAGGCTTGAGTGTGGTCTCTTAAATAAGCTATTCCTTTTGCCTGGAATGCTTTTCCCCTCTACCTCTTCAAATAACATCTGTTGATTGGTCCTTCAGCTCTCAGCTTAAATATAAGTTTTCTCAGAGGTGTTTCCTGTTCCTCTAGACTGTTAAGTCCTTTTACTATTGGATCTAATACCTACACTTTCCCTTTATTAACAGATTTCATGGTCTGCTGAATTTGTTTAGTATTTCACCACCCCAACAGAATTTATAATATAGGATAACAGATTGCAGCTCTCTCTTACCTCACCAACATGATATTGTATTTGTTTGCATAATGAAGAGCCATGTCTGCCACTTTGCCACCTGTTACTATGACATTTGCACCGGTATCAGCAATAGCTTTGACTTGTGCATCCATGAGATTTTCTTCTCCCTTACTAAAATTCATCAGTTCTTCAGCAGTCTTTATCAATACTGTTCCCTGGCAAAACAAGCAAGCACTCTTTAAAACCACTTTACTACTTTGGTGTTCAAAGTCATAGGATAACATATTACTGAAGAAATAATTTAATGATTTGTCCAAAGGGGGGAGAAAAAAAAAAAAAAAAAAGACAAAAACACATATACTATGAAGCAGTATACAAAATCTGCATAAAATTAACACTCAGCTTGCTCCTAGACCTCCCCTCCACCTCTGCCCAAACGGATGCATTTTCTCTTCAACAGGCATTTTGGTGGAGAAGTTATTTTAAGTATGTTGGGCACGTGTCCTGGTATTTGTTTTTTGACAAAGGTCAGGTAGTGTCACCAAAACAACCAATGTTATGGTTCTCAAACTTTCTCTAAAATGTAGACTAAATGACCAATCCCCAGTCCTGCAAAACTTTTAAACCATCAACAACTTGGATTTCAAGACTTCCAGGGAATGAAGTCAGCCACTACTAAAAAAACACAAACTTCAAATTTCCTCACGTGTTTTTAAGAACTGACTTATCATGTTCAAATTACGTTAGAATATTGTTTCAAAATGCTACAGAATATCAACATTAAAAAAAATATTTTCCTGAAGAGTGCACAGAGTACTCATATTCTCATATTCTTTCAGTTGCTGAATGTCTAAGCTCAACTAGAATTTAAGGCCTGTGTGTCAGAATATAAATAGTGCCACCATGTAATGTTTCAAGTTTACTATTTAGTAGTTAAATTAGATATTCAAAGAATATAAATCTGGTTTAAAATAGATATATTCATGCAATTTTAAGTAATTATGAAGTAGTTACTGGTTTAAGAGCAAATCTACCTCAAAACTAAGCATTAATCTGAAAGGGCAATCCAAATTTTTACTTTTAATGTCTACATACCTTAGTTTCTGTTATCATGCTATCAAAAGGACAAGAGTACACTGCTATTTTCGCATCTTTGACAGATGTTACATCACCTTCAGTTTCCTTCTTGAAAACCATGCCATGCAATACCGAAGAGGAATAGATTCCAGAGCCCTAAGGAGTTGAATGACAAAACCACCAGTGATCTCATGAAAATAACATTAGACTAAGTTATTGATTCTGCATGTAACAAAAAAACTGTTTTCTAAAAATACTTTTTTAGTAATACACCAAGGCAGTGACCCCTAAACGCACCATTCTGTTCAAGGTAGAAATCATTGTGGAAACAAGCCATTTTTTGGAGGGGAGGTCCTTCAGTGTACTGGGAGGAACTAAAGGTAGAAAACTGCTCTGAGCCATTCATTCACCCGTTACCAAGTAACTGGTGCCAGTGCATCAGGCAACAAAGCAAAGATTCTGCTCTTACAAGTTTACAATTTAAATGGGGATGGTGGGCACAACATGGAGGGAGACAACATGCAGCATATATATATAAAAATACCTATATAGAGACCACATGTACACTTAGAAGCCAAATTCAACTACATTAGAGTCAGTATGCCAATATGCAAAACCACTCCAACTATAGGTTTTACTATATATCAAGAATGTAAATTTTTTATCAAAAACATACTTCAATATTTCAATACTAACATTTAAGTGTAAATTTTATGACTGTAGATCTATAGAACAATTTCCATTCCACTCAAAATTGCCTCCTAAGCTTATTGCTATAATGCAGTGCATATGAATACAAAAAAAATTATTTTGTTACTACACTATTTTTTTTTTTTTTCCTGTTGGCAGTTGGCTGGTTTGGGGATCCAAATCCCTGACCTTGGTATAACCAACACCATGCTCTAAACAACTGAGCTAACTGGCAAAAGCCCCTCTACATTATTCTTAACTCACAAGATGTCTTGGAAAAATGATGACTTCACAAGGAGATGATATGTCAATACCCTTTTAAATTTAATACAGCTATTAGTACTACATCAAAATGTTATAAAATGATGCTTCAAAAGAAATCCTGAATTTCCAAAACAAGAGGTAAAATTTGGGTTTAGATTAACTTTTTTTTTTTGGCAAAAAATAACTGACTTAGATGGAATAAAGTTAGTATATTTTCTAAACTTACCAGAATTTTACAAACTCTGATGTTATCCACATTGAAATGACCAGAATCAGGAAAAATAGATACTGTGAAGAAAATGAGACACATCAAAAGATATTTTGGTACAAGAGAAAAAATATTAGTTGTGTTAAAGACATTTTTATTTTGGACCTTTTCATTTACTTTACTTACCACATGCCTGAGCAATAAGCTTGGCCAGAAATGCTTCATTGCCATACTGTTTACTCATTATGGAGGTACGAAGTAGGGATGATACTTCATTGACATCTCGAAGGTTTTTTGCAGAACAACATACTAAATCAGGAAGAATCTCATGTGCTTTTCTGCAGGCTATTTCATAACCTTCTATGACCTAATATGTAAAAAACAAAAACATTTCTTCAAAAGACATAATTTTGATATGACTTAAAGTAGCTTATTTTGGTAACCCAATGAATATTGGTATTTATTCTCAATATAAAATGACAAAGTAGGGCCAGCCCCGTGGTGCACTCAGGAGAGTGCAGCGCTGGGAGTGCAGCAGCGCTCCCGCTGCGGGTTCGGATCCTATATAGGGATGGCCGGTGCGCTGTGAGCGCAGTGCGGCCGGTCACAAAAAAGACAAAAAAAAAAAAAAAGACAAAGTATACTTCCAGAATAATATGTATATCAGAGCCTACTAGTTATGAGCATAGGCTCTGGTGACAACCCAAATTTGAATCCTAACTCTACCACTTACTAGCTACAAGATCTTGGACAAGACTTTTCTAACTTAAGTCTCACTTTCCACATTTAAAACAAAATGGGATTAATGGGCCTCACTAACAGGGTTCTCGTGAGGATAAAATGAGATACTGTAAGTGATGCATAAGTACTATAATGCCTGGCACAGACCAAACTGCTTGATAAATGTTAGTTATTACTATGAAAATGATTTCTGTATAAGTTTCAGCAGTATGTGTACATATAGACAAAAATTAAGTAGAAGTAAACTATAAAATGAACACTCACCTCTGAAACCGACAGGCCAATTCTCAGAAGTTCTTCAGCTAATTCCAAAAGAGCTCCAGCAAATACCAGAACAAAGTTTGTGCCATCTCCAACCTCCTGCTCTTGCATGTGAGAGGCCATTACAATCATTTTTGCAGCAGGATGCTGTACCTGGTAGAAAAGGTAATATCAAGTTAAAACATTTGATCTTTAAAGCAACATAAAAT